TTTTTTTTTATGTGTATGTGTCTATCGTTGTTACTGTTCTCTTCCGGTACGGTCATTCTCTCATACAAAGAGCACAAACTAACAAATACGTATGAGGGACATTTGTTTATATTACGACCTGTGTGTCTTTACGTTGAAGAAAATATGCCCAACTTGTTTTATATTAAAAGTAAAAAAACCAGAATCTTTTTTTCATTAAAAATAGATAAGAAAAAATATGTCCTTTATTTTAGGATAATAATAGAATAAGAAGAAAAAAAAGAGAAAAGGTATTGATCATTTGTGAATAATTTTATTTGAAAGAAAAGAATAAATCAATCATAACTATATAATAGAACTGTCTGATCACGTCAAAAAATTATATTGACTTCAATGAATAATTACTGAGTTAATAAAATGACCAATCAAATGAACTATTGTTTTAATTAAGTGATTGTTAATAATGAAAATTTTAAAAATTCGAAATATAGAATTGATCGATAATAATTTTCTTTTCATAAAATAAATTGAAAGAAAATAAATCCTTATGGAGGTCGCTCATCTACGGATATGTTTTTTTCTCGTAATATATAATGTTTTTTTGTGTTAAATTATTACCGTTAAGTATAACAGCAAAAAACTATTAGTTAAGAAATGTCGTCTGTTATATGTCAACTAACTATGATGACAATTTGGTAGAATGACATAAAAGGTTGCCTGGTAAAATCGAAAATATTTTCTATAGATTAATGTTACATTATGCGTTATTGTCTATAAATGATCTTTTCCTGATGAATCTTATCATACAGTATTGTTTTTATACGTAGGCATCTTTGTAGTAGTTGTTTTCTTTTCATATGCTTATCTTAGCGTATCTTTTCTTTCTTTATTTATCTCTATTTTTCAAACGGCAGACTATAAAACAAAAAGAAAAACGAGAAATGAAAACAAAGGTATCGTATTTATTGATCTTCGATATTGATATATTTGTTTATTTTATCGTATTTCATCTATAAATATCATGTATCATTACAAATGATTGCTTTGAAAAGATCTGAATTCTTAAACTAGATATCTGATATATATAGACAATCAAGAGATTGTCTTAAATACTTACAAAATAATCTTAGTGATAGATGACGTGCTGAGTTCTTCGTATTTTTCATAAATTGTGTTGACAACTATTTTAATCTATTATTCTAATTACAACGATTATCAGTTACTCAATTTAATACTTGATAAATGACAAATATAAATTCTTTTTGTTTAAACTTGAATTAAACTTTAAAACTATTGTCTACAACGAAATTCATCGAGATTAAATTTCAGTAGTTGAACAATTCAATTCTACTCTTTATATATGATTTAACGTATTATAAAAAAATAACTCAAGTTTTCTTTCACAATAACAATATTTTTTTCAAATAGAAAAGATTTGGTTATTTAATTATTATTTTACATTGTCTATGTGACGTATGAATATCTATTGTAAAGAGAGTTCATCTGAATCTTTGTTAATAGTTTTACACATGATTTAAAATTATTTGAATATGTTGTTGAAAATAAAATAAATTGCGTAAAAGTTTATGCATTTATTATAGGTCTCAATCCGGCTCTTTGATAATACAAGAAACGTTATCTTTTTCCTCGTGATTTTTCCTTGTAAACTTGAATAAAAAAGAAAGGCAATATAGTTATTTATTGCGAGGTTTGTTGTCCTTTTTACAACTTTACAATCTTATAAATAAAAATATGACTGTATAAAACTGCATTATAATCACAACGAAGAGACAAGATTGTGACTAAAATGTTGGAAAAAGTGAGAGTTTAATATTAACTTCATCGTGTATGTTATAGATTATTGCTATAAGAAGTACATAAACATGATGCACCAAAACCATAATTCCAGTTCAAGTATTGTATGGTTGAATCTAACGACTAACGAAACGAATTTAGATATAAATAATACACTTCATCAACTTCAGCATGTTGCTGGTTCATTCAAAATTTTTAATGATGCAAACGAGTGTATTGATTTTATAACCAATGTGATAGATCAAGAAGTGTCTTTGATTATATGTAATTCGCAGAGTGAAACATTCATATCAATAATTGAAGATATTCCTCAACTTCATTCAATCTATATTTTTGATCAACATCAACCACAAAGTCAGGCGTGGTCACATAGATATAAAAAATTGCGAGGGGTGTTTACTCAACCTGATACTATTATCGACGCACTGAAACAAAATATTTCTAATCAACTGAATGATTTACCACCATTTAGTATCGTTTCTACCACATCATCATACTCCGATCTTGATCAACTAGATCAGTCATTCATGTATACACAACTACTTAAAGAAACTATTCTCGATATCGAACATGATGACAATGCGAAAAAAGCATTTATAGATTTCTGTCTCACTCGTCTTGTTGAAAATGATCTACGATTGGAACCTTTACATCAATTTGAGAAAAACTATGATAATCATTCACCCATATGGTGGTACACAAAGGAATCATTTGTATATTCCATACTCAACAAAGCACTTCGAACTCAAGATACAGAAATGATGATAAAAATGGCTTTTTTTCTTCGAGATCTTCATGAAGAAATTAAGTATAAGCATTCACAAACATCTCATACGACAAACCTTACTGTTTATCGTGGACAAGGAATGAACATTGCTGATGTCGAAAAACTACGAAATAACAAAGGTGGTCTTTTCTCATTTAATAGCTTCTTATCTACAAGCACTGATCAACAAGTATCATTGATGTTCGCCGATAGTGCTCGTGAGAATCCTGATTTAATTGGTATTCTATTTCGAATGACTATTAATCCATCAATATCTTCCACACCATACGTATCAGTCAGCGACATAACTCAGTTCAATGATGAAGAAGAAATACTGTTTTCCATGCATACTATTTTTCGAATAGGTGAAATGACTGAGATAGATGATCGTTTATGGGAAGTTAATCTAATATTAACTAGTGATACTGATCCACAATTGAAATGTCTAACTGATTACATCAGACAGGAAATGATACCAGTACCTGGATGGTTTCGTATGGGTCTCCTCATGCAGAAGATGGGTGAATTCGAGAAAGCACTTGAAATTTTTACTATGTCACTACAAATAAAACTTGATGATGACTTTGATTTTGATGAGTTCTTACGAACTTTGATTAATGTACGTATTGGTGATGTGCATGAATTAATGGGAACTTATACAAATGCATTAGATCACTTTGATAAAGCACTCGAGTCTGTTAAGATCGTTCTTCCATCTAATAATCCAATTTTTGGCTCAATCTTTAGTGGCATCGCTAAAGTATATTTGTCAACGGGTAATTATGTCATGTCATTGTCATATTATGAGAAAGCTCTTCAAATCTGGGAGAAATCTCTTCTAGCTACCTATCCATATTTAGGTACGGGCTACAACAATATCGGTATGCTGTATCAATCAATGGGTAACTATGTCACGGCATTGTCCTATTATGAGAAAGGACTTGAAATCATAGAGAAATCTGTTCCACCTACTCATCCAGACTTGGCTTTGAATTACAACAATATTGCTGGAGTGCATCAATCAATGGGTAATTATGTCATAGCATTGTCCTATTATGAGAAAGGGCTTGAAATCATGAAGAAATCTCTACCATCTAC